CATGGTACATGAAGAAGAAGAATACATAAGTTTTCAAAATAAAAAAAATACAACCAATATAATTAACATAAGACTAGGTACAATATTTTGTTCGTTTTCATCAAACTTGTTTTTGAAACTATTTAAACTAGTAGCTTCTACTATGTCATCACTTAAACCGTTTAATTTATCAAAATCTCGGTTAACTAAAAAGTTTTGCCTTAAGGTGGTTTTAAAATATATCTTTTTCAATTTATAGTTATGACCTCTTAGTCTACCACCCCCCTCCAAAAATCCCCACTAAGAATTCTATAAGTAGATATGACATCATATCTTTCTCGTCTAAGAGTTAATGGAGACAACTTGAGCTTTCTTAGTCAGGTTTCATAGTCTAATCTTCCATAATTAAAAGGTAGCTACGTAGCTCTTCGTTGTACTCCTTCTAATAAATTAATGTCTTTTTGCAAATGAGGTGACCAAACTGACACTGCAAATTCTAGGTGAGGTCTGACATAACTTTTGTAGAATTTCAAAAACAAATCTGCGAGATATTCTATAAAAAGCTTTTGTGATAAATAATAAAGCAGAGTTCGCTTTACTAACTACTTTTGGTGTTTAAGTAGACCAACTTATTGTTTGGTTGACCGTAACACTAAAATTATTAACTTCCCATACAGATTTCAGAGGAACTCCATCCCAAAAATATGTATATCGGAATTAGAAGATGTAAATGACAAAAAGTCAGAAAACTTAAAATGTAAAGAAGCAATATTAGTCTAAAAAATATTTATTGTTGTCAATTCTATTTGTTTTTTGCGGCATTTTGTTGGTTAGTACTAATATTAGTTGGAACTTTATTAATATATTTTATTATTAGTTAGTTGCTAAGTAGATTACGTTTTTCCAGTTCCTCTCGCACTTTATTCAAATAGTTTATTTGATATTTAGTTAAGTCATCCTTCAATTGAATTCTAGAAAATTTGGTTCCTAACAACCTCATATTATTGCGTAACATAAATAATGGACTATCATTATCTGCAAATTTAACCTTTAATGGCCTAGGTTTAATACTATTGATAATCTTTCCAATACACGAAAAACGCGGAAACTGATAACGAATATTTGCTTCTTGTATACAATCCTCCAACTGCATTGAGTCAGTTTGAGAAGGTTGTTCCATGGCCTCGAGACGATCCTCAATCGATGTGAGTCTATGTGATAACTTAGAAATTAAGTCAGTTAATTTATTGAATGTACAGCAACTATTACAGACGATTCTTAGTGACTCCGATTTTGTCCTATTTATTCGTATAACTTCTTCTTGTGCAATATCTAGATATTTAATATGAATCGGTAAATTGCATGACATACAAGGTTTGTCCAATCCCTTATGTTTTTAAGCCATGAGAATTTCTTTCTTCCGATGCCCCGTTTTGTATCTTCACTTCTATAATAAGCTTAAGAACTGGTACTTGGAATTTAGAAATATATGACCCAGATAAGCAGTTTGTCTTCTTTTCATTATTGGCAGCAATTCTCGATCTCTGCCCATTCGATATATTTCGACATTTGTTGTGTGATCCATCCAGGGAATTTTAAGTAGTCTTCTAAATAACCACATGTCAAAGGCCTCCAATCGGTTCATCACATCGGCCTTTATGGTCCAGGTTTCTACACCATATAGCAGTACGCAGTAAATGTAACATTTTACAAAGCGATATCGAAGCGTTAAGTTAAGGCTGCTGTTGCTTAGCAAAGTTCTTATATAAGTAAATGCTGTTCTGGCTTGCTCAATTCTGCTACATATCTCTATGTCTGGATCTAAATCTTCAGTTATCCAACTACCGAGATATCTGAACTTGGGGACCTTTTGGATGTTCTTATTGTTAACTCTTTATTTAATTGCATATTTTGTGTTCTAATAACCACAATTACCTTCGTCTTGTCTATATTAATCTTCAAGCCCAGTTGTTCTCCTTCAGTGTTTATTCTATCTATCAGTCATTGTAGCGCTTCTTGGCTATCAGCTATTATAACTGTATCATCAGCATAGCGAAGATTACTAATAGTCGGTCCGTTGATTTTAATTCCGTCTTCAGTGTCACTTAAGGCCCTATCGAAAATCGTTTCAGAATAAAGATTAAAAAGGAGGGGTGACAGAACACAACCCTGTCGTACACCTTTTTCGATTGAGAAATATGATGTAGATTCCAGTCCTACTCTCACAGATGCCACTTGATTCATATAAAGGTTCTTTATGATTTTAAGGTCATTCTCATCTATCGAACGTTCCTGGAGCAATATTACTAATTCTGATGGTTAACACAATCGAGCGCTTTTTGGTAATCTATAAAGCATGGAAGACATCTTTTTGCTGATCTCTGTATTTCTGAAATAGGACAGTTAAGCTATAAAGTGTTTCTCTTGTGCCAAATCCTTGTCTGAAACTGAACTTTGTGGGGCTAATGTCTCTTTCACATCTGTTGTATATTCTTGTGTGAATTATCTTTGAGAAGAGTTTTAGGACCTGGCTCAATAAACTGATCATTCAGAATTGGTCGCAACTATTAGCGTTTGGCTTTTTTGGGATTGGTATGAAGGTTTATTAAAGCCAATCCTGTGGTATTTGACTGGACCCATAAATGTAATTAAAAGATCTACCAAGGCGTCTATATTGTCTTCACTCAACATTGTTAGAACCTTAATGTATATGTCGTCTGGGCCTAGTGCTTTTCCCCATTTGCTCTTATTGATTGCCCTTATAACTTCTGACTTCAATATTTTGGGGGAGGGTTCACTTTTATATTCACTTTCAGAGTTTCTTCTCGTTGGGTCTGAGTATAATTGCTGTGTGTAGTTTCTCCAATGTTGAAGTAGATCCTTGGGTTCAGCAATTAATTTATTGTCCTTCACAATACTGTTAAAACTGCAAGGTTTTGTATGACCTGTCACTTCTTTAACAAGTTTATGTATGTTAAAGTGGTCATGTTTTCCTTCCAATTCCTCCATTTCTGCACATCTGTCTAGTAGCCACCGTTCTTTAGCTTTGCGACACTCTTTTCACATTTTTCGGTTAATCTGCTGATGTTTGGTTCATTCAGTCTTTGTTTTTAAATGATCTGCGGTCGTCCATCATTGATAATATTTCATCAGTCATCCAATTATTCTTCTTGTACTTTTGGGAAGCGATCACAGACTTGGTCTTGGTTACGATAGCTTTTTTAATACAATTCCATTTGTCTTCTATACTGGCCAGTTGTTTCGATCTTGCCGTGATATCCGCTATTGCCTCATTTAATTTTTCTGTGACTTTTAGTTTAACATTAGGTTGTTTTAAGCTGTTTATATCAATTTCCTTTATGAATTTTCTTTTAATTTTTCTTTTAATAAGATTTGAATTTCCTAAAATCCATTATGTGAACTTAGCAGGGAGCGGATCCCCAAACAGCACTACTTTTACATAAGTGTATATAAGATGAATCATTGGTTATGGTTTTATATTTTATGGAACAGCCAATAAAATTAACCTAAGTAAACTGGATATAATACAAAACAAAGCACTAAGAATATGTATGGGAGCAATGAAATCTACACCTTTCAAATCCCTAAAGAGCAGAGGCCAATGAACCACTCTTAGGACTCAATGATCATTTTTAGCATAAAAAACAATGGTTACATTACAAAGGAAAGAATCACCTATCATTAGCAATTTACCTAGTTGAGCTAAACAAATATGATTTAACTAACCCTTTCTCGAGAATAAAAACTCACCTGCTATTTGCCAAGGACTAAGAAATGGGGCTCCACAACAAACAACACAAATAGAATTCGATTACTTCAGCTTTCCATGCCATTTATTACACTGAGTCAAAAAATACGGATGGCATACTTTGTGTGTTTGTAGTACCCAATCAGATACAAAAAAAAATTCAAGTTACATAAATATACATCTATTTTTACAGCTGAGGCTATAGAAATACATAAAGCATTAGAATATGTACAGCAGGAAGTTTACCAAAATGTAATTATTTGTATAGATTTGCTTTCAGTTTTAAAAAATTTTAATTTGAATTGAAGAATTAGACTTAAAAATTTACAAGATCTTAATACAAATATTAATCTACTAGATCAAATCACACACAGGTATAACAAACAATGAAGTCACAAATAACATTGCCAAAGAAAGTATACCAATGGGAGAAGATATAAATTGTTGATTATCAATAGAAGAACATATATAAATTTAAAAAAACAAGAATTGTTGAAGAAGTGGAAATACTTATGGCAAGAGTAATGTTTTATAAATCCAACTCGATATACCAAAATAGAAACCAAATTGAGAAGAAATCTTTGGTACAGCAAATATGATTACAATTGTAGAAGTATAACCACTTTCAGTAGAATGAAGTTTGGTCACACATGTTATCCAACACATTTGCATAAAATCAAAATACTCCAGACACCTTTGTGAGGTTTGTAACATAAATAGAGTTAGCCACATTTTGTTTGGGTGTATAAAATATAGGGTGCAATATATTGAACCCTTTAAGAAACATCTACAATTAAAAATCAAGAGCGCAAATAATATGTATCTGCTAGCTTTGGATAGAAAAGAGATTTAGGATTGCTTGTTATCTTTTGTTAAAATAGTGAAAACTCAACAATATTTTTTATTATTTACTTTATTTACTATTTACTTACTTACTTTATTTTACTTCTCATGCTTTTCCTAAATGTTTATACCCACACTATTTGAGGTGTACCTTGTGTTGTCAACAAAAATGCCCTGATTGACCCCCTGACAAGAAGAGTGTAACCACTGTTAAATCCCTTTAATAAAATAATATAATTGATGATTCTAGCTGCTATTAAAAAAAATACTATTCTGTTTCATTCTTTGATTTACCATAAGTGTGTATAAAACATATCAGTCATTTCATTTGTCGTTATATTGACATGTGTTATTAGTTTTGTCTTAGATCAGTTTTTTGTACCTGAATATAAAGTAAATTTAAACTCACCTCATGGATTTATTTGCTTTAACAGTTTTTTTAACTCTGGCCTTAGGTTCAGTTTTCCAAGTTGGTTTTAATTTTGTATTTCTTGGAGAAACATTCTTTGTAGGCCTAGTTGGACCTAAATCGAATCAATGTTAATATCTTAGGTAAATTCTCATACATACCATATTTTTAAGATTGCAATTTGGAAAGGTCTAAAGGCCAAATATGATCCACTGGAAATCTAAAATCCAGGAAAATTCTAACAAAAATATTACCTTCTAGAGACCTATGCATTTTGGGCAGCTCTCCAGACATTGCTGCTAATTCTGCTTCAATTTCTCCTGTGTCTACCCATATAGGAACTGTTCTTTTGGAAGTTTCTTTCTTTTTTGGTAAAATATCTTCTAGTTTAAAAACACTAAAAGTTGTTCCTCTGTATTCTCCGGCATTATTAAGTGCTTTAAGATATCCTTCTTCATTTACATAATCTACCGTGCAGCATCGTGCTTTCGGTTTAAAGGTAATTCGTTTAAGTTTACCAAATTGTTTAAAATATTCTTTAGCAACATTTTTATCCAATATAAATTCAGGGGGATAATCTTGACATCTGAAACCAAATACTTTAGATTCAACATAAACTACTGCTACCACAACTTACATTATTTTGTAAGAAATTAAATCCATTTTCACAATAAACTCTTAATAAGATTTTACTATTTATTATTATTAAGTTCAAAATGCCATTAATAGAGGTTATGTTATCATTCAGCATATATACTAATATACTGGAGTGAAGATAGCTTCAAAGAAGTCCACAGTACACAGTCACAGAATAATAAACAATTGTTTATTATTCTGTGGTACAGTCCACAGCACAGAACGAACTTTTTGTGTTGGGCAGTGTTATCAGTTCCTTATTATGTATTCTTCAAATGTGCAGTGAGATTTGAACAAGTACATTTTTATTATATTATTTTATGGATTCTGCAATTTTTCAATTTGTAAAATACGAATGAATAAATAATGCCTCTAACCAGCAATTGCCAGATTGCGACTTGCAAATGATAGAGGTCTGTTTACTTTATTATTTATACCACAGAATCACCCAGAATACACCAACCCAGGTTGTGTTAATTGTATTCTGTGTTTATCTGTATGTTCTGTTTTCCAGCCAAACTTTAGATCTTATAAAAAATAGGTAGGTAAACAAAGTAAATTATAAAACGGTAACCATAGACAAATAATATAATAGTAGAAAAACGATTATTAGTTTTGATACTAGAAACATAAAAAAAGCTTTTTAAACACTTCTTTATTGGAAAGTACTTAAATTTCTTAGTTATTTCAAGTTGAAATATTCGATTTGAAATTTTTCGAAAAACACTTATTTATGAAAAACCGTCTAAAAACGTGGTTTCTTTTTTGAAAAATGCATGAACACTTTCACTAGCAAATAACTCAGAAAGTATTGACTTAGTGAAAAACACCATAAAATAAAAGTTCCTTAAGGCCGTATGACACTATGCATTTTCTTGTATCATTTCTTATATCGTTTTTGATATAAGAAAAAAATGCATATAAGTTCTTATATCAGAAACGATACAAGAATCTGTGTCGGCTGCATTTTCTTGTAAGATACGTGATAAGATATTTAATATGGACGACGATTTCGTGATAGTAGCTGTAGCGCTACGACGTGTTGAGATTTAGTAAACACACTACAAAGTGTGTTTAGATTTGGTAAATTGATTCATTTTGGGACTTATTTTTAACGTATGTTTTTTCAACTAAAGAAAGGGTGGCTTTCACCATTCACGTAAAAGCAGCCCTGGACTTAAATCCAAAAGTGAAGCAGAGGGCAAGAGGAAGCTAAATCCAAATTTTCAAGCAAATCTGTTGTGACCCGTCGAGGAAAATTACACTCCCAAGCGGTCATTAATAGGGTATATTATATTTGTGTAAAACACTGTATCGTAATTCTGGTTGAGTAATGTAAATTGAGCAATAGTAAATGTGTGTATAAGATTGTAGGTGATAATATGTTTCGGCATCGAAACCAAAGCCTGCTACATTCTGCTGTTGGGTTTGCTACATATTTTTCTTCGTCAGTAAGACTTAATTTCTACCAGAAAGGATTCCTGTTAACAAATTGTTTTAAGGAGTTTCTCAATTCTTCGCATGTCAAAGAAGCTTGGAAGAACTGGGACGACAAAGATGAATAAAATGCAATACATAAGCAAATACTAATGGAAGTTTTCCAAGTGTGGAGCAATCGTTCAGTTTAGCAATTTCCAGGAATTCTGTTACAGGAGATAAGATTGTGCGCGAATTTTTACTTTGTTTTCGTGCAAAATCTAGGTACACCCATCCCCTAATGGGCAATCTTCCTTCATATCGAGTTACTCCTTCGTTTACCTTCATTGTTACAGGCGTAGATTACGTAGGTTTCTTTCTCATTAGCGCTAAACCAGACAGAAAGTCTACCTACTACAAGAAATGCGTCAGTATTTTTATTTGCTTTAGCACTAAATTAATTCATCTTGATCTCATAACCGAGCTAAGTACACAAGCATTTCTTTCAGCTTTAAAAAAGATTCATTGCCCCAGACGATAAGTCCGCTGGAATTATGTCTGATAATGTAACTAATTGTGTGGGCACTCGCAATGAATTGAGTGAGCTGAGCAATTTCCCCAGACAGAATGTCACTGAAGTGTGTGACGTGCGCACAAAGAAATACATAAAGTGGTATTTCATTCCTATAAACCCACCTTATTTCGGCGGAATATACGAAGCTGGCGTTAAATCGAAGAATGCACATCTGAACGGTGTTATGAAAGATGTAAAGTTACACTTCTGAAAATTTTAACTCAATACTTGTCCAGGTGGAGGGTTTATTAAATTCCAGACCCTTAAATCACATGTCTTCCGATGCATCTGACTTAACCGCACTTACTCCAGCTCACTTTCTCATTGGAAGATCAATGGATTCCAAACCAAACATTGACTTAAGTCAAGCTCAATCAAACAATACATCTCTATGAATGAACTAAAACAAATTTTCATAATATGAAAATTTGTACATTGGTGTTAGTCAAGGACGGGAATGTACCTCACCTAAACTGGCTTTTAGGACGTATTGAATCCGTTCACCCAGGATCTGATGGTTTACTTCCTTGCATAAGGTAACGTCTCATACCGTACTGTAAACTATTGCTTTGTATTGTAATAGGTAAATTTGGATGAAATATTTTAAGAGTTCGTAAATTACCTACAACTTTTTTCAGGTTATTAAATATATTATCGTGATCAGCAGTCCACAAGAAATTTACATTACTTTTTATTACACCCCTTGTGGTGCTACTATTTCTGGTAGATTTGGTATACATTTAATTAGATAATTTACAATTCCCAATATTCTTAACAACTTTTTCCCCTGTTTGGAATAAATCTGTCCCAAGTATTTTACTTAGTTTAAAATCTAAAATTAAATTGTTTATTTCTTTATAATAGTTTATTCATTATCAAATCATTTCTCTTTAAAAAAATCCACAAGGAAAAATTCCTGTAGCTGGCTGTATACCACGTATAACAAAAAGAGGTTAATCTTTGTAAATGGGTATATTTATTTAAAAAACCCTTAAAAGGGCCACATCAATAAAACTAACGTTTTCGGACTACACAGTCCATCATCAGTTTATTAAAATCGAAAATGCCTAAAAATAAGTATAAACCATATTAGTTAAAACAAACGAGATTTTGAAATGTTGACTATGGTTGAAAAGCAAAAGATGGTTATACTTACTAGGTCATAATGCCTGAGCCACCAAAATATTAGGGTAAAAACCCTTTAAATTACATTTAGTTGTGAAATGTTGTACATTGTGTTATAAAATAACTGTGATGTTCTATATTAAATTAAATTTGACCAAAGGTAACACATGGCTCAATTGGGTTCCAGAGCCGGGTGAGAGACAACCTCTGCACTCGGAGAACAACGTGGAACTGATTGACAAGATACTTTTGAAGGATGAAGATAACAGAATGTCAATGCAACAAAAACTATAAAAGTTGTACATAGTATTACTACAGCCAAAAGATTCAACAAGTTTTGATGATTTTAAAAATAACAACAATCTAGGTGTTGGGATTTAAAAACTTATTATTTATTAATTTAGGGTATAAAAGATGTCAAATCAATGATGGTGTTATAGTCATGATTAATATAATGACCTGTGCCTTAGGCAACTTATGTTGCTTTTCGTCGTATGGAATGTGGTCTAAAGTGTATTTAATTTTGGGTTAGCTTGTATTTATGAAATTTATCCTTTTATGTTTAACACATCTAGGACAAGGTAAAAATTAAATAACAAATATTTGAAGCTAATATCAGACCTCATGTTTAAATGACTTTATTTAGGAATGCTCCTATGGTGAAAAATTAATAAAATTAAGTTTAGTAAGATGGAAATCTACAGGCTGAAGAAATTGAAGTAGTAACATATGTGATTGAATTTAAAATCGAAGAGACTGGGTTCCTCAGAGACTAATGAGAATGAAAGTAAAAGAAAAGAAAGGAGGGGGGGGTTGAAGGAGAAAAGGAGTTGATCAACAATTAGAGATAATAGGGGTCCTTTATACTTAAAGTATCTAGCACCCTGAACAAAATCTATTTAGGTGGTATTAAATTCAGTTTGTAGAAACCTGAAATTTGTTGTATAAGTGTGCTACTAAGTTGTTGACCGAAAGAAGGTGGACAAAGGTAGATTAGGATTCTATGTAATATGGTAGATCACAGTTTTTTATAACACAATGTACAACATTTCACAACTAAATGTAATTTAAAGGGTTTTTACCCTAATATTTTGGTGGCTCAGGCATTATGACCTAGTAAGTATAACCATCTTTTGCTTTTCAACCATAGTCAACATTTCAAAATCTCGTTTGTTTTAACTAATATGGTTTATACTTATTTTTAGGCATTTTCGATTTTAATAACCTGATGATGGACTGTGTAGTCCGAAAACGTTTGTTTTATTGATGTGGCCCTTTTAAGGGTTTTTTAAATAAATATACCCATTTACAAAGATTAACCTCTTTTTTTTTTTTTTTTTTTTTTTTTTTTTTTTTTTTTTTTTCTTTTCATTTCTCTTTCATCTGTTCCTCCTATTATTAAATCATTAAAGTATATTGGAACATCTAACTTCTCAAACATTTTCTCGTTTACCCGTGGAAAAACTGGACTACATGATAGTAGATACTTTTCCCCTTTAGTTTTAAACCAATTTCTTCTATTGTTAGTATGCATCGAGTTAGAATCTATGAGCATATTAACGTATACTTCATCTAATTTAGATAACGACTTACGTCATTATCTACGTCAGAGATCGAAGTTGACATAGTTGTCAAAGTATAAAAAAATCCTGACTCCATTTTAAATCAAATAGATTACATAACTTTTGCAAAAGTATTACCATCTCTTTACAACAACTATTTAAATTCTTACGTGACATTTTTGAAATAAAACACACTAATTTTGTTCTAAAAAGAACAGATTTTATTAAATAGTTAAAAATATAAAACAAGAGATATTCACTTAAAAATTCAAAATAATGAAGTACAAAAAGTGTCAACACTGCAACTGTCAAATAAGTGTTACCAATTTATGCCAAAATTTTAGCTTTGTTCGATTACAGTTACAGTGTGTTCCG